ACGATATGATCATAACTGGGAACTCAGAACACGCCCTGCAGGTATTCAAAGATTATCTCTCTTTCTGTTTCAAAATGAAGGATTTGGGAGTCCTGAAATATTTTCTAGGGATTGAGGTGTCTCGGAGTAAATCAGGGTTCTATCTTAGCCAACGGAAATATGCTCTGGATATTGTTTCAGAAACAGGATTATTGGGAGCTAAACCAGCCACATTCCCGTTGGAACACAATCATAAACTGGCTCTCTCAACATCGGATACTTTGCCTGATCCTATACCGTATCGACGACTGGTAGGACGGTTTATCTACTTGGCATCCACTCGCCCAGACTTGGCATTCTCAGTTCACATTTTAGCTCAATTTATGCAGCAACCGAGAGAAGATCATTGGCAAGCAGCATTGCGTATTGTACGCTATCTTAAAGGGTCACCAGGTCAGGGAATTCTCTTGAGTTCTGAGAAAGATTTTCAGATATCGGGTTTGTGTGATTCTGATTGGGCAAGCTGTCCCCTTACTCGTCGTTCTGTTACGGGTTATTTTGTTCAGTTAGGCCAGTCTCCAATCTCTTGGAAAACGAAAAAGCAGCCTACAGTTAGTAAATCTTCCGCTGAGGCGGAGTATCGAGCAATGTCTTTCCTTCGTGATGAACTGCTTTGGATCAAGAATGTTCTCACATCACTTGGCGTTTCTCATAAACAACCAATGCGAGTTTATTGTGACAGCAAGGCTGCCATCTACATGAGCACAAATCCAGTCTTCCATGAACGTACAAAACATATTGAGAATGACTGTCATTCAATTCGTGATGAAATTCAATCAGGTAATATCTCTACTCATCATGTCTCAACTGCAGAACAACTGGCCGACATCTTTACCAAACCCCTTGGTAAACAAGCTTTTCAAAACTTCAGACACAAACTGGACATTCTTGATTTATATGCTCCAGTTTAAGAAGGGGTAATGGGATATCAATTCATATCAAATTGTATCCCATTAATCTCGGTCTATCCCATCAATCTCGTTCTAATGTAAATTAATATAATTGTAATAGCTTAGGAAAGTTGGATACTCTTATATCCTATATATGCTTGTAATTCTCTTCGTGAATAAACAACACAAAAAGAAGTTGTTCAATATACGATGCTGTATTTCTTCAATTTTCAAACAATAATGCAAAATTATCTTAAAGAAAACTGTTATAGGACACGTTAAACTATTAGCCTTACGTACGTGTCCATGAATGTGAAAGTAATGTAAAAATTGCAAAAAAACAAATATGTATACCATCGTTATCGTAATAACTCACACACGCTCAACTTGGTTAACTACTTAACCTTAAAAGAGAGAAAGAAACAGAGGCCTAATCACCTTCATCCTTTCTTTGAGATAAGTGGACTTCATGAGAACTTATCTGTTGTTAGAGAGAGCTACACAAATATCTGCAATATGATCGTAAACATAAAAAGCTACATGTTAAACACCAAAAAATTGTTAGAAGTTTCTGCTCATAGTTAGAAGTTGTAAATGCTTTTGCGACTTAAACGGAGCAACAGTGGATCAAGTAGAATATGCATCTTTCCAGGTAAAGCTTCAGTATAAACTTGCACAATCCAAAACCTGAAACAGTGACTCAAACTTTGAGAACATGATCGTAAGGGCAGTTTATGACAGCCACAATGAGAATTAAGAACAATGAACGTGAAAACTTTAAAATAGAAGGTCATACATGTTCTAACCGAAAACCTTTTACGAAAAAATAACATAATCAGATTCTTCACATCATTGTGATCAAAACACAAATGTTTTAATCATGGACACCTGCGAACAACAGTAAAACCACAGTTAAAAAAGATACCACTAAGACTATGTCTCAAATAATACAAAGAATGTAAGTGTAGTAAGAACATTTAAATAGTTGTTTTATTATTTAAAACATACATTTAATAGTAAAACATTAATTTCATTTTGTAAGGGGTTTTCTTCAAAACTGAAACAGTAATAGTAATTCAATCTTGATCTAATAGCAGGCATAAGATTATATCTGATAAAGTAATGAAAACAATAACTTAAAACAATCGGGAGTGGTCTTGGTCATTAGCTAATCTACTAAACAAAGGCAACAAAGAAGCCCCAAAAAATCGCATAAACTTAAAAGTCCACCAATGTTGACAAAGTACTGAACGTTAGAAATTTCCAAGAGTAATCTGAAATTCTTGTGGGGGAGAGGCAATTTGATGATACAATTTTAAATATGTTTTGATGCTTACTTGACCTCAGGTTGTGCTGCCCCTGCATTCGTTGCCATCTTCCCCGGCGGCGTTGGTTTTTTTTGGGCTACTTCAGGAAATGAAGGATCGAGGTAAGTAGACAAACACTCGCTTCCAAACATACCCTGTTCTTCTCGTCTCTCTCTTGCCCGCGTGGCTTGATGCTTCTCCATAACCACACAAACCAAATTGAGTTTCATAATTTTATCACGAACAGTAACTAATATCCATCTAAGAATGCTTACATCTGAAGCCATGAAACTTATAGTTTGGTTGGAACTTGGAATTAACTTGGAACATAGACCACTCCTGCAGCCTCTTCTCAGATAAAATATGTTTTAAGTTTTTCCCTGCAGTATTTAGAGTCATCAACTTTGATAGATTTTAAAAGAAATAGCAATGCGTAAGTTATTGAATAAAAAGAATGGAAACTGGAAATGGTGCCTAATTTTAACCAATTCAAGCTGTCCACTCGGGTTCTTTCCTCAAATGTAGAGTTTTCCATCCATTAATGAAAAGATAATAAACAGAACAAATATGTAACATAAACATGTAAAGCCCTGCACTACAGCAGCGAAGACTACAGAAAAGCTTAATCAGTTTGGCATATTAGAGATCATGAATAAGGTTTAAGTCATTGATGATTTAATATTGGAAAGGTGCACAGATGAGAGCTGGAAACTTACTTCTCCTGGTTTGCTTATATGAAAGTTGCTCCTTTGCATCTTAATCTGTAGCACATATAAAAGTTTCTCTTGTTTTATTAGACCCTAAAGATGTTATAATCTCATATCAGCATACATAAGTTGGTGGCAAAACCCATGAAAAGGGTATAATACCAAAATCGTATTGTAGCCAAACTCATGACAGAGATATGTGAAGAGATTAAAGTGCCAAATAGTAACATTTATAGTCAAAAATCTATGATGTAGATAACTGATGTAAGACTGGAAATGCTCCAAGTAATACACTCTTTGAATCTGATCTTCAAGCTAAATGGGGTGGAGGAATGGCTTGATGATTGCTGGCCTGGTTGTATTTGATGACCCCAAACACTAGGGTTAGACTCAAGCTTCTCAAGGGCTAATCCTCACAAGAGAAAGAACGATTCCATGCGATTTTTAAAAGAGTTCTGAATCCACAAACAACTCTCTAAATCTCGCAGGGACAATGTTTTCAAACGAACTCTCTCTTTAGAAAAAAAACAAAAGGTTTATTTGATTGATAAAAGTCTGAGTATGAAAGTACAAATACTTGAGCTTATATAATGCTCAGAACAAGTGAATAATCGGTAACTAAATAATAAAAACTTAGCATAAAATTTGGTGTGATAAGAATGCTTAAGTTTGGCTTCATTTGGTCTTCTAACCGTTGTCATAATGGGGAAATGTGCTTGATTTGTGGCAATGAGAGAGGGGACGAATCTTTGGTTCTTTGGGATGGTGTGAACGTCCAGGATGTCTTGATTTGAATAGATTGTTGAGATAATCTGAATGTTGCTCTAACTTTCCCATAGAAGCAAAGATATTATGCTCTAAAAAGAAAAGTTCTTTCATGGATGATTCTCCTTTGACTTGTGACGAAATAATATGAATGTAGACTTGATCTGGTGGCTTTAAGACTTTGGTGTCTTCTATGTTGGTCGAATAACATGCCTTGCTGCTCCAGGTGCTCCTAGTTTCCAAAGTTGACTCCAATGATACACATGTTGGTCCAAACATGTTTTTTGGTGGTTTTGGCGGTTTAGCTTGATCTTCTTGCAACTTAAACTGAACCGAAGGTGGTTTAGAGATCTTGTTATCTTCAGTGGGTGTGGTACCATGAGAATATGATGGCTTGATGTGAAAAATATCCGAGCTTTCCATAAATAGCTTCATATAATCATTTGTAGATCCATATATGTGATTATGTGGTTCTGGTGGTTTATCTTCATTGGTTGGTCTTTGTTTCTGATCCGGTTCTGATTTGACCCGACCAGCAAGCTCTTCTTGGTGTATAGAATGATGGCATTTTGATCTTGAAGCTTTATCTCCTTTGTAGTCAGCTACAAGTTTCTCCTTCTCCTTAGCTACAAGCAAAGCATCGTCCATTTTAGCTCCAATGCTCCATCTCCGGACTGGTTCAGTTGAATAAGCATTGCTGCTTATATCAATAACCGAGTGACCAACAAACCTCAGTAGTAATTTATAGATTGGGACAGTATACCAAGGAACATGGACAAATCAAACTCACCAAAAGTTGCCACCATGGTCTAGATGCACAACCTCAATACACTCAAAATGAGAAGATTCTGACTCTTTTCTATCTCTCCATCTCCTTCACACTCGAAGTTCTTTTTTTTTTTGCACTCCAAGTTCTTCAATTACGTTGAATCCAACCTCCCTCACCACCAAATAGTAACTCCACAAACTATCTTCAGATTTGTCCACTCGATTTGAGAAAAGGACGCATCCCACATGGATACATTATTGCATTTGAGACATGAATAGGATGGCCCATCGATATACTTATTGCATACCTCACAAGGGCTCTCCTCCTTCGGTTTCTTTAAGAAGATAAGTGGATGGTCATGACATATAGGATGTTTAAGAGCAGACGGAGATAGTTTCATTCCACAAGTCAAATCCACCTTGAATTCACGTGTGGAGCAAGTATAAAATAGATTCAGCATCTCTTTTCCACACAAATCACATGGAAGAAAGAGCTTGCTCGGACTGTTTGTGAGCAGGAGAGGATGTTAGGGGTGGGAAGGGTGGTTGGTATTCAATGGAGCTTCCGCGCACTCCTTATGGAAAAACGCAACACTACAGTCAATTACATTGCAAAAGTAGCCGCCATAGATGGTTTCTTCTACACGGCAGTCACCGCATTTAGGGAGAAGCGGATGCTTGTGAATTTCTGGTCTATATATTTGTTGTAGTTGTTGTATTCATTTGCGGATCCATGTATGTGAATCAAAGTGGTCTCTTTGATGAGATATAAAAGTGGAACCTCAAGACAATCATTATATGTGCCTTCGTAAACCAATAATTAAACCTATTGTTGGTAGGGGTGTCAAAACGGGCTAACCCGCCCCATATGGTCCGCACCGCAGCCATCACTTTTCTTCTCTGGACTGCTGCGCGTTGATGGGAGCGGGTTGCGGTTCGCTATTAAGGTGTCCAAATTCGCCCCGCGTACGGATCAACCCGCTAGTTATGTTTTGTGTCAAAAACGGGCTAATAATGTTGTTGTATCTATCCCATGAATCTATCGATATAAACAAGTTTTGAATCAAAAGCAACCAGATTTGCAGGTTTATGTTGTAAAACTGCAGTTTAAAGACAACTAAAAACTCAGAAACGCAAGTTGCAGGTTTTTTAAGATGTGCAGGTTTCTATGTTAAAAAGTTGCAGGTTTTTAAGACTTGCAGGTTTATCCTAAGATTGCATGTTTTTAACTCACACCTTAATTCTGTGAAGTGGTAAAGATATGACTACATAAGACCGTAATAAAGATAGCAAACAAGATAGGATTTATTAAAAACAACATAAATTCTTATATTTTCAAATAAATAAAGAATCAAGTACCTTTTCTATCATAGCACGACAAAGGGCAATGGTTTAACTGTTTAAGTCGCGAATTTATTTTCTTCTACATTCCCCCTTTACAGAACTGAAATTGAGCATAGAAGAAAGAACGAGAAGAGGAAGAACAAGTAAGAAAAGAAGAAATGACGAATCGTTGTGTGCGTTTAGTATTAGAAACACACGAGAGAAGTTATAAGGACAGAAGGAGAGCTTGATGGATCTTATTGGTAGATATTAATCAGCCAATATTATTACGTTTACAGTAACGGAAAGGAAAGCTAATTATCTGGACAGATGTCATTCTTTAAAATAATGACGTGTCAAGCTGTTAAAAGAGGGCTTCCTCTTAGTATAGATAGATTATCACCAGTGCCTAGGTTTTCTTTTAGGATCGTAAGTTTTCTTTCATTAAGTCTCAAACTTGTGTATAAACCTTTTCGTAACTCGATATATTTAGTCAATGGAATTTGTAAGCTTTTTCGAGTTTTTGCTAAGTTTACAGAATCTGTAAATTTCTGTTTTTTCTTTTTGGTTTTGCAGAATGATAACTTCAGTTTCATGGATACCAAAAGGGGCATCAAAGGCCCTGCCCGATGCTGCTGAACCTCCTTCTAGGGAGGAAATCAAAGAGTTCATCCAGAATAAAAGGTGATTTCTTTCTCCGTTGCTCTGTTTCCACTGCTCTTTTCAAGCAGAAGAATCACCCATTGGTTAGTGATTACATTACATGTGATACAGGGCATACAATATGAGTGACATGGATGAAGAAGATGAGAATGGTGAAGTTTCTCATGCTAAGGCTGTAGCAAAATCTTTTGGAAAACCATGTTCCAAAGGCAAGGGTGCTTCATCTTCTTCGACTGATGCTGATGACGTAGTCAACTTGTTGAAAGAACTCGACATGGATAACTATGATGAAGAGGATGATGGTATATATATATGTCAGACCTTTCTTTTCTTTTCCCTACATCTTTGCATAGATGCTCCATTTTCAGATGCTAATATACAGTTTCCTTCATTGTCTGTGTTGGACTCAGAAATTGAACTGTTTAGCTCTGGTCTGGGAGACCTTTATTATCCAAGCAATGAGATGGATCCATACCTAAAAGATACTGATGTAAGCCATATCATTAGCTTTTTTTCTTTTTGTTTCCTTGCATGTGGAAAGTAAATTGCTCATGTTCAAATCCTCTAGGCTAACTATGACTCGGAGGACCTCGATGATATGACAATTGGGGCAAGCGATTCACTCATCCTCTGCACTAGTATTAAGGATAAAGTCAACTATATTGAGGTTTATGTATACGAGGAGTCCGGGAATGGCACTCATAACATGTATCTTCGTCATGATATGATTATACCCGAGGCTCCATTGTGTACAGCATGGCTTGATTGTCCTCTCAAAGGAGGGGACAAAGGTTAGTTTTGTATCCAAGCGACCTTTTTTTTTTTTTTCTTTTGCTATATATGGATGAGATTATCAAAGGAGGGGACAAAGGTTTGATTGCTTTGGTGTTGGCAGGGAACTTTGTAGCTATCGTGTCAATGGAATCGCCGACGATAGAGATATGGGATCTTGACGTTGTATGTAAATATGCAAACCGTCTTTTGGTGATGTTATACTTTTGCTTTATCGATATGATGAAATTGTAAGTTGATTATAATGCGTTCTCAGGTGGATGAGGTGCTACCCTGTGTACAGCTGGGACGTATAGCCGGGCAGGTGCGACTAACAACCAACTTTTGATAATTTTCCAAATGCGTCATTTTATAACTTAGTGTTATTTGGTCTTTCTCTCACTCTAGACATCAGATTGCCACACTGATTCAGTGATTAGTCTTGCTTGGAACAAGGAGTTTCGGTATGTTTAAGCTCTCTGCTGGTTCCATGATTGAAAGTGCTCTTCAGAGTCTTACTTGACTTTATAACTGGAACAACAGGAATGTAATTGCTAGTGCCAGTGCAGACAAAACAGTTCAGGTTTGGGATGTGGCTACGGGGAAATGCAAAGTCACTATGGCGCATCACGAAAAGGAGGTATGAAATAACTGCTTCCATGCTCTCTCAAGCATCTGTGGCATGCTCAATGGTTTTTATTGTATTTTTGGTTAACAGGTTCAAGCGGTCGCATGGAACCATTATGCTCCAGAAGTACTCCTCAGTGGGTCGCGTGATCGCACTGTAGTATTGGTGAGTGTTTTCTTCCATTCGCAAGCTCATCATTACGTTGAGTCTCTTATATATCTATGTTGCAGAAAGACGGAAGGGACCCTTCACACTCGGGTTTGAAATGGTGTACCAAGGCCAAAGTCGAGAACTTGGCCTGGGATCCTCACAGCGAACACTCCTTTGTGGTGCATTACGCTGTCGTTTGCTCTTCTAACAGACATAATAATCTCTGAAAATATCAGATATGAACCGTTTTCATTTTGCTTCTCTCATCATAGGTGAGTCTCAAAGATGGAACCGTGAATGGATTTGATATACGTGCTTCTGATTTATCACCAAGTTTCACTCTCCATGCTCATGATGGTGAAGTGGCCTCCATATCATACAACACAGATGCGCCTAATATACCTATATATACATGTATCTTGCACGTGTCCTACCGTTTTCATTAGTGTTGTGTGCTTAAGCCGTTTATCGAACTGTGCAGCTTTTGGCTACGGGATCAGGGGATGAAAGTGTGAAACTTTGGGATCTTTCAAACAATCAACCATCGTGGATTGCTACACACAGGCCAAACGCTGTAAGAGCGATGATGAATTATAGCATTTTTGTTCCCATATCTGTTAAATTTCTTTACTCACCATTCCGAACTATTGATATCATTGAACAGGGAATAGTTTTCTCGGTCTCATTCTGTGCGGACTGCCCCTTCGTACTCGCTATTGGTGGCTCAGAAGGGAAGCTTAACGTGAGTAGTAGGGATTTTGATGATACAAGAACCAACAAATTTATTTTTTCTTGGAAACTAACTAACGTGTTCATCCTTGTGCAGGTGTGGGATACACTATCGGACACTGCTGTGTCCTGAAGATATGGGAGCAACAGACCATGACTCACCCGGGAAGTTACTTGTTTCTCCGAAGCTGAGGCGCACTTAATTGCATCTCAGTATTTGTAGGATAATCATCAATTATATTTTGTCACTCGAATTTCATAAATATTTAATTATTATTTTAGTAAAATTATTTTAATTATAAATTAATATTTAAAATATAATATTTGTTTTTAATATCATTTTATTGTTGTCACATATCTAAAAAATTTTAAAATATTGAAAAATATATTATAATTTAATTTAAAAATTTACCTTGATTTATGTAAAAATTAGTTTTTACTTTCAAATTTAATATTTATATATAAATTCATTATTGTTCACCTATTTTCAAACTACTATTAAAATTATTTTTGTTTTAACTAAATTTAATATATAATTTAATTCAACAACTATAACTATAAGTTTTTTTTTTATTTAATTTTTTAAAAAAGTTCGTTTAAAAAAAACTATTTTCATTTAAAAAAAAAATAACTTATCAACCATATGACTACAATTGAAACACCTATATTTTGTTCCAATTAATTTAAATTTTTTTTTTCATTTCAATTGTGTTTGTGTAGTAGATTTTTTTTTATGAGCAGTCTTAAATACAAAACAATAATCAATGTTTTAAAATCTTACTAATCCGTAATAGAACTATTGTTCATATAAATAAAAATAACATTTACATATTTGTTGGAGCTGGATTTAGCATCCTAAATCTCGCCCACTCAAGCCCAACATGCATATCTAAACTAAGCACAAACTGACTGGGCTTCGTTCGCACAACCCAGACCCACTTCCTTGCAATGATCCAAACTTGAACAATCAAACGGTCCGTCCACGAGGTCTAGCTCTAGCTCGACGAAATCTCAAGAAACAAGGAAGGATCCAAGCCAAGTTAGAGCATATTCTCGCCAGTTCAAACGAGTCTGAAGTTCGCAGAGGAAGCTGCTGCACGTGGCCGAGATTTCCGGCTAAAGCTGCTGCATGTGGTCGAGATACGCGCCCGACAAGGCGAGCTATATAAAGGACACAAACTGCTTAGTTGGGGGGGGGGGCTTCTGCTTGATCTTCTTCTACACTTTTTACACACGAAAACTCTGTAACTGCTCTCAGAGCTCTTTTCATTTCATCTTTTTCAGAGAAATCTTTGTGACCATTTCATTCGACCGATTAATATCAAGTCCATATTTCAGTTAGTGCTATCTTATACAGTCAATCTGTTCGAGAGAATCTAGCCTTAATTCTCTTAAAGTTCTTTCCTTACAAACACATAAATTTCTGAGTGTGGATTTCTGTATCCATATTTTGGCGCCGTCTGAGGGGAAAATCTATAGATTTCTCTTACTCAAGAGCAGATCATAATCCAGCTGAAACCGAAATGGATTCAACTCAACAAGCCTCGGGAAACATCTCACCGATTCTGATTGCTCCAGATCAAGTAACTCCGACCGGCAACGTCAGCCAGACAGCCGGCATAAACGAACCCACGGTTATGACCCTCGTCGACACCACTGGCACGAACTCCAACGTTCCCAGCCGTGTGGAACCGATCTTAATCAACCTCGTCACCCCACCAGGAACGACGAGTAACCAGTCACAAACAGCTGATAGGACTGCCTCTCAAACTTGGGTGCGATCTGAGAATCTACCTACAGCTTCGGCATCCCAGAACCGAGCAACTCCTATTTCTCCACCACTTGTAGCTCCTAGGAGCGCATCAAAGTCGGCGGAGATACTCCAAATGCTCATGCATCTGATCGATCGACAACGAGATCAGGAGATCAGATTAGAAAAACAGGAGAGGCGTCAAGCCACAGCTCGGTCCGCTGCAAGTCCACCTCCACAGACTCAGCTTGATTTTTCGTCGATTCCTGCTCCAAGTAATCCATCCGGACAATTCGCGGTACCTTTGCGTGCTCCAGGTCCACCAAAATTTTCCCCCGTGATGAATCAAACACCAATCACCAATCACCAATCACCATGGATATTCCGGCTCCAGGAATACCAGAGATCGGACCTCATCCCAATACAAGATATCCATCTCCACCTGTGCCAGCACAAGGAATACCCGAAATGGGACCTCATCCCAACACGAGATACCCATCTCCACCTCTAAGACCACCTAGAGCCGAGCCACCTCGACAGAGATGTCTTGGATCCTCAGCCTTCGCATCAAGCTCGCAAACACCACCCCAGTTAGGCCAACAACCGAACACAACCTCGAGCTCAAGACTCCCTAACGGGACCCGCGAACAACCCATAGGGTTTGTTCACCAACAGCTCAAAATCCAGGTTCCAAATGATCCGACTCGGGCTAACTACCACGGCGTCGGCCTAAGAAACCTAGTCGACTGCAGATCCTTTGAAAGATTCCAGAACCAAACCGACTTCACCATTAGGTAGATAAACTCCATGTTCCATCAAGCAACGAGCTCAGCTCCCAACATCGATCGAGTAATCCACGAGACCCAATGGACTCTGTTCACTTACCTAATCATGAACACGTACCTCCGAGACACTACTAAAGTATGAGTCCCAGAGTACGCTGGAAACAATGACCGAAAAGCTAACATCCGACTCTTCAACCTCGCAGTTATCCGAGCTAATTTCTCACCAGAGGAAAAAGAAGCAGGATACTGCAGGCTCTTTGCTGAAAACTTAGTCGGACCAGCTCAGGAATGGTTCCCGATGCTGGAAGAAAACTCAATCTTGAATTTTAACGAGCTCGCGATAGCCTTCCTCAAGCAATATTCGATCTTCATCGAAAAACGAGAAACCGAAGCCGATCTCTGGAAGCTATTCCAAGCTCCAGATGAACCACTTCGATCATATATCGCCAAATTCAAGGCGATCAAAGAAAAAATCGCTAACCCTAATGAGGCAGTAGCCCTGCTCGCCCTCCGAACCAACCTTTGGTACCAGTCGAGGTTCAAGACGGAGCTTACACTTCGATCTACGGACTCACTTGACGACACACTCCATCGCGCATCCATATTCGCTAACTTCGAGGACGAAACGGCCGCCTGCGAAGCAAAGTACCGTAACTCACAGCTCCACCTCGCACCTTCCGGGTTAAAGAAAGCTAGCGTTCCATCTCCGAAAAGGGAGTCGCAAAGCAAAGGTCAGCATTTATGTGCCATAGGAAGCTCGTCCCCTGAAAAGGAGTCGAGAGCTTTGACCAAATCAAATATTACGAACACCACAAAAGAACGGACATTCCAACGAGGAATGTTGAACTCGAGTTAGAATCCTGGCAAGAAAACTCACCAAAGAAAAAGCCGAGAAGGCAGGGGGAAAAAAGCAAAAAACCCAAAAAGGCCTTGACCAAAAACAAGGAAGTGACCTCGACGAAGCATCTCAAAAATGAGATCGCGAAGTCGAAGTCGAAATCCAAACCCCAGATTCTCCTCCTTCAGCGAGAAAAAGGATCGACTTGATTTTCAGAGAGCTAAACCTTTGTGGTGGATAAATGAAGTCAGTAATCACCCCTGAAAAGGAGTCGAGAGCTTTGACCAAATCAAATATTACGAACACCACAAAAGAACGGACATTCCAACTAGGAATGTTGAACTCGAGTTAGAATCCTGGCAATAAAACTCACCAAAGAAAAAGCCGAGAAGGCGGAGGGAAAAAAGCAAAAAACCCAAAAAGACCTTGACCAAAAACAAGGAAGTGACCTCGACAAAGCATCTCAAAAACGAGATCGCGAAGTCGAAGTCGAAATCCAAACCCCAGATTCTCCTCCTTCAGCGAGAAAAAGGATCGACCTGATTTTCAGAGAGCTAAACCTTCGTGGTGGATCAATGAAGTCAGTAATCACACCCCCCCCCCCTTGCACCTTCCAGGTTAAAGAAAGCTAGTGTTCCTTGACGCTTTTAGAGGTATGGGAATACCTACCAAACATCCATGTTGTCAAACGATCGAACTCCACTCACCGGCGTTGCAGGAGAAAGATTCCAGAACCAAACCGACTTCACCATTAGGTAGATAAACTCCATGTTCCATCAAGCAACGAGCTCAGCTCCCAACATCGATCGAGTAATCCACGAGACCCAATGGACTCTGTTCACTTACCTAATCATGAACACGTACCTCCGAGACACTACTAAAGTATGAGTCCCAGAGTACGCTGGAAACAATGACCGAAAAGCTAACATCCGACTCTTCAACCTCGCAGTTATCCGAGCTAATTTCTCACCAGAGGAAAAAGAAGCAAGATACTGCAGGCTCTTTGCCGAAAACTTAGTCGGACCAGCTCAGAAATGGTTCCCGATGCTGGAAGAAAACTCAATCTTGAATTTTAACGAGCTCGCGATAGCCTTCCTCAAGCAATATTCGATCTTCATCGAAAAACGAGAAACCGAAGCCGATCTCTGGAAGCTATTCCAAGCTCCAGATGAACCACTTCGATCATATATCGCCAAATTCAAGGCGATCAAAGAAAAAATCGCTAACCCTAATGAGGCAGTAGCCCTGCTCGCCCTCCGAACCAACCTTTGGTACCAGTCGAGGTTCAAGACGGAGCTTACACTTCGATCTACGGACTCACTTGACGACACACTCCATCGCGCGTCCATATTCGCTAACTTCGAGGACGAAACGGCCGCCTGCGAAGCAAAGTACCGTAACTCACAGCTCCACCTCGCACCTTCCGGGTTAAAGAAAGCTAGCGTTCCATCTCCAAAAAGGGAGTCGCAAAGCAAAGGTCAGCATTTATGTGCCATAGGAAGCTCGTCCCCTGAAAAGGAGTCGAGAGCTTTGACCAAATCAAATATTACGAACACCACAAAAGAACGGACATTCCAACGAGGAATGTTGAACTCGAGTTAGAATCCTGGCAAGAAAACTCACCAAAGAAAAAGCCGAGAAGGCAGGGGGAAAAAAGCAAAAAACCCAAAAAGGCCTTGACCAAAAACAAGGAAGTGACCTCGACAAAGCATCTCAAAAATGAGATCGCAAAGTCGAAGTCAAAATCCAAACCCCAGATT